TTTTTCACTTAACAGAGTTTTACAGACAGGATGTGTGTTACACTGGGGCTCGCTGGTCCCAAGCTCTCTTACAGCAGCTGAAGTTCTTCAGTGATCCTCGGGTGAGAGCGCTGCAGGCGCCACATGACAGAGCCCCACACCTAACAGATCTCCTAGTGCTTGACTGTGGCACTGTGTGTGTTCGTTCCAACAGACTGAAGGCTTTACATCAAATGTATGACAATATTTTATACAACTCATCCGTTTATCTTCTTTCAAGATGAAATAAAATAGCTTTTAAAAGATCTTTAGCTGGTAGCTTTATTGGATGAGAAGGCAGCTTTTTATGGTGACTCTGCCCATCTGTGTCGCACTGCCTCCATGATTCTGCAGCTGAGACGAGCAGAAGCTCCATCAGGGGAGGGAATGACCTCAAGTTGTGACAGGAGAGGTGCAGGATGGTTACTGGGAAACATTTCTTCTCAGAAAGAGCAGTGAGGCAGTGGCTGCCCAGGGAGGTGGAGGAGTCACCGTCCATGCAGGCGTTCAAGAATGTGGATGTGGCACTGAGGGCCGTGGTGAGTGGGCATGGTGGGATGGGCCGATGGTTGGACTGGGTGATCTTAGTGGTCTTTTCCAACCTGAATGATTCGGTGTCTGAGTTAATCTGGAACCGTTCCTGATGGGTCTTTTGCTCCAGGGTTATCGCTGGTAACACCTCTGCCCACGTGCAGCTGCTCCACGGCCTGCGTCGCCGCCACAGCCCTCGCAGCGCTGCCTGAGCCCTTCGGAGACATTAGCGTTCACATCACCTCCGCTTTTCATGATGGATTCTTTTGTTCTGAGAACTGCTTGAAATAGCCCAGGGTGTCAGAGAGCAGCGTGAGCTGCCACGGCCTTCTGGCCAGGTGTCCGGCTGCAGGCAGGCAGGCAGCCCCACACACTTCCTGTGCTTTATGAGCCCGTAGCTGCCTGACGGCCCTGCTGAGCTTGCAGTGCTGTTTGCAGGACAGGCATGACGTAACGCCCAGAGCACAAAGAGCACTCAGAGCACTCGCTAACTCACCAGCCCCTGCCCCTCCACAAACATTTCATCAGCTGTAGGCAGATACGTGTGCAGACAGGCATCCTGCAATTAACAGCCTTCTAATCAGGGTTTGCAATCTTAGCGTTCTTAAGTAGCCACCTCACCGCAAGACCTGACTTCGGAATGGCACAGGCTATTGAACCCGGTTCAAGGATAAAAGAAGAGTTCGGAGCAGAAGAGACAGGATGGAAAATGTGACAGCATTTTGTGTGCTTTCACGGAAAGGCTCAAAGTCCACCTGTGAGCACTGTGGAGGAACAGACAGCCCTGGGAAGGGCTTGCGGGCTCTGCTCCCCTCCATTGGAGCCAAGGAGAGCTCAGTGCTCGGCCATGCGGGCGGCTCAAGATGGTGCCGCTCCTGGAATAAGCGGACTGTCCTGTGCGTTTGCTTCAGAGGCTATTATGGGTTTGGGGTAATTTTATTGATTATTAAATCATTTTTAGGGCGTTTATTTAAAAGGGGGAAATGCACTTCAGGACATTCTGCAGCCCTTCTGCTTTGCGCGCTCCTCGTTTTGCTTACATCACCTTTATCTGGGGACAGCTATTTTCTTTGAAACACAAACACCTCTCCCACATACAGAATCTCTTTTTTCCCCTCACGACTGACCACAGTCAACTCAGTTCACAAATCCAAGCAAAAATTATGTCAGACTTTCTTCCCTTCTTCTGAAAGAAAAAAAGACACCAAGTGCCAACCAAATGCGATGCTGTTTTTATTAATGGTTTGTTAAACCCAGGCAAGTTTATAAAGAAACAAGAAATCAGAACCTATTTGTATGTTCAAGGCTGTAGCCCTGCTGCATCGTTAGGTGGTACCCAGCGAGCCCTGGCTCTGCAAGGCAGCTGAGCACTTTGTTGTACAAGGAAAGCCTATGGAAGTGACTCAGCAGCTCCCTGGTACCAGGACTGCCCACAGCCCTGCAGTGCTGACTCTTCAGCAACTTCACCTTGAGGTGATCAGCTTCTTGTCGTGTCTTCTCCTTGCAAATTCCACTCTCTGTTTCCCTTTCTTAAGCAGAGATCCCTCTCTGAGCCCCAGACACATATTGTGCTTGACCATATCTCACATAACAATACCCCTTTTTTGTCTGAGGTGTCCTAAAAAACAAGAACCAACTCTTTAAGTATTTAACCTGCAGGATCCACAGTTTAACTTCATCGCAGACTGCTGTACAATGGCAAAATCCACCCTGAATTTCTTCCCAAATGCCCCCACCAGAGGGTTTCAATCACATCTATGCACACTCATCCACGTTTAACCACTTACACCAGTATGTTTCTAAAACACTGACCATTAAGTGCCAAGGAAAGTGCATGCAAACAAAAGTTAGCAAATAAATAAATAGAAGTCTCCACGAATACAATGCCATCCCAAACCAACGCTACGTATGATGTGAGGGACAGCCAACACTGCCCTGCTACACCCATAGCTGCCTTCGCTCAGTGCAGAGATGCTTTCTCTCAAGATGCCCGTCTTTGTCAGCCACTGTGAAACTGCAGCCAAGCTTTGCTGTGCACAGTAGGTGGGAAATCATACACAGGAAGGAAATCATTTTTTTAGAAAGGCACCGTTGGTTACGTTAAGCCAAAAAATGCCTCACTAAGAAAGCGCGCTGTATTGACTGCAGCAGTTTCTATCTGGGGGTTTCAGGTTGTGGAGCTGCCCTATGGATGTGAGCCAGAGTAGGAACGTGGCTGCACTGCCCAGGGATTTCTCTCCAGAGAGCCAGGCTCTGCCCTGAGCAGTGGACAGGTTTGATCAGATGTTGAGCAAAATAAGAAGTTTTTTTAAACGTTAGAATCTTCACACTTTGACAGTGGGAATATTTGGAGAACATTTTTTGAACTTAATTCCAGCTCCATAAATACCATGACTGGGTGGAGGAGCTTTTGCCCTTCCTACACAAAGCAGTGCTGCCCAGCTGCCTCCGGCTCTCCTTGGCATCCAGCGGCCCTTTCGCCCCGATCTCCCCGGCTGCTACAAATGTGAGCTCTGTTGTTTGTCCAGGCTTGTGGCAGGCAGCCACGCTTCCCACCCACAGCTGCAGCCTTGCCTACAGCCAGTAGTGTCACAGAACCACACAACAGCCTGGGTTGGAAGGGATCTTAAAGCCCCAATCCCTTGCCATGGGCAGTGCCACCCGGCAGCTCAGGCTGCCCAGGGCCCCGTTCTACACAGCCTTGAGTGCCTCAGGAATGGGGGCATCCACAGCTTCTCTGGGCAGCTGTGCCACAGCCTCACTGCCCTGTGAGTAAAGAATTACTTCCTAACATCTAACGTCTTTTAGTTTTCCCCTTGTCCTATCACTGTCTGCCCATGCAAGCTGCTCCCCAAGTGCAGGGCTGCAGCAGAGTCACTTGGTTCTCTGTGCTGCCAAGGCCACGCTGGCAGGTGACACTGGCAGTTCTCAGGCCCTGGGGTGCACAGGACTGAGACTTCACCACGGCTCAACGAAATGGGTAGGAATTCCCCAGCCCTCGCTCACACAGTGTTGCCTTTTATCTGCTCTCTCGATATGATTGGTGTTGGGCTACAGCATGGTGAACTTGTGCCCCACCTGAGGACAGCCTGATCTGTGTGCCTGCAGCAAGGCCTTTTCAACACAGAATTACCACAACACACCATTTTCCCCTCGGGGAAGTTATGGTTTCGATGAGATGGCAATATGTACTGGAAAGTTTTGACCAGTTCTATTTGAACATAAAACACTGACACAGCAGCTGAAGTGTGGGTCTGTGCTGCTGGAGGAAGCTGTATGACTACAGGATGGCAAAACAAGCTCGTTAGCAGTAGATGATACAACATACTCCTAGTGACAGTTTGAGGGAGAAGCCCAAACTGCAAGCCACTATTTAGCACAGCATTTCCCCAAAATGATCTGCTTCCAGCTTTCCGCCTAAGTCAGTTCTGCCATCCGCACACCTTACCCATCCAATCACAACTGCAGAGACCAATGTGACGAGAGCATCTCCTCGCTCCTCTGAGAACTTATTTCTCCTCTGCCTTCTCTTCAAGGAATACGACCGCTTAAGGAATAATTCTGATATGACAAAGAACAGTGATTCCCACTTCAGAAATGAGGAAATGAGGCTGAGCTCGTTTGTAGGAATTCGGTTCTTAGAAAATGCATTTCAGGATTGGGGTAAATCATCAGAGGACTCTGGCAGGGCACGAGTCTGAGTGAAGGTGGCGTGACACAGACCAGCACACTGAACTTGGCCATCCAGTTTTGTGAGATACTGCAGCTGTACAACACTGCAGCTGCCCCTGCTGCTCTGTGAGATCACTTCTCAGAGTTAATTCTCAACTGCCTGTTACAAAAAATTCCAAGGAACTGCTCCATAAGCTCAGCATCTTCTGTAAGAGGGCAACCCTTCCTACGCGTAACACAAGGTGGGATTTTATCTCAGCTCATGTTAGTCAGTTAGAAAGTAAGCACCCACTCTGCCTCACCCATCCCACTCGCCTCCGTGGCCAGTGCACAACTCCTCTCATCTGACACAGGGAGCATTTCTGGTGTAACAGAGGTTTCTTAATTGTCCAGAACAATGGGCATATTGGCCAGCAACTTCAAATTCTAATATCCAGCTGAAGCCCTTCACAGTTTTAGTATTTACACTCCAAATAAGCGTACAGTGAGACAAAACCTCCCACCGCTCAGAAAGCCTCTCACCCTAAAGAATCTATAGTACTTTATCAAGTACTCAGAAACCAAGTTTGTCTCTAATCTGGATGATGTGGCACAAAGCTGCCAACCATGGCATATTAGCTTAGTTTGGTGACAGAAGTGTACTATGAAGGTTTTAGCAGCAAGGATGTCACTGCTCCATAAAATCCAGTTGCAGGTTGTTTACATAAAAATAATATACTCAAAATAGCCACGACAATGGCAGCTTAGTTTGCTTGACTTTAAGTGGGGAAGAGTAGTTACTGAAATTCTGAATGCTGGCTCTCCCTACACACCTACGCTGTAGTCATCTTTTCAGACCAGTATGTTAGCAGACTTCAAGGCATTTCCCAAGCTGACGAACGCTGAGTCTCTCTTCAAAGCTCTCCAAAGGAGAAGTATTCCCAGGAGGAACGAGGCTGTGCTCTTCAGCTCTCAATTTCGGAATGCTCCCACTCTGCTTGCTTTGCTAATGAAGTTTTTCAGGAGATCGTGGTCCATTTCAGCAAAGCCTTGTGTTTGTGTTACAACAGTTAAGTGGTTTATGCAAAATCTGAAGCAAAACTCTTCCAAGTCCTAAAAAGAAAGAGAATTAATTTATAATATGAATGACTGACAGCAAAATTATCATCATTCTCCCCTTCCAAATCTATCAGTTAATAAGCAGACATCATATCAATGACCAACTCTTTTTCCATCAGTTTCATCAGATCACGAATGCTAGGATGAGAACTGTAAACACAAAGTTTCCACAGCGTACATTAGAAACACACCTAAAAATAATCTGTAGCAGCAGATCTTTGTATTTCCCGAGGACAGGACAAAACATTCTGATCCTAACAGATGAAAAGTCAGCCTTCCGTTGATTTTCTACGCTAATGGTAGATAAACACAGCACTACTATCTTTCACCTGCATGGTTAACACACAGGAACAAAAAATCAACCAAACAAAACTAATTGCTCTTTCTGAACTATCAGGGCTCTTTCACAGTCCTTCTCATGACAGCCTTTCACTGAAGCGCTGATGTGCTACAGATGGCTCTCAAATCAGTTTTTACCATATTAATGTAGTGCAGCCCTGTCTTACTTCACAGTTCCTTAGACAAAGGTTATCCCATTGCTGAAGAAGTCTTTACTGCACTCCTCAGAAGGAGTTCAATCCCTTTCTGAGCTGCAGACGAAGGGAGGAGAGCAGTGATGTACTCCTGAGGTTGGCACGTGCTGCTCTAGAGGCAGGTGAACCAATTCATGGCATGATGACTGTGTTCAAGTGTTGCCTGTATTTAAAAATTACACTATTTGTGCAGAATGTATTACAGAAGGAAGAGGGGAATAGCATACATACAGACATTTAGCCAATCCCTTCTACTGTGCTTCTGCCATTGCAATTCTCTGGTACTTTGGGCTATTTTCCCTACTTCAGGATACACTTCCACGGATCTTTAACTACTCCACCTGACACAGCTCAGTGAAAGCCACCTCTGCTTTTGAGATGGTCAAAAGTGGTGAAAAGCTTCTAAGAGGAAAATCTCCAGAGTAAACGTAATGAAAACTTCCACACTTCAGAGAACCAAACCGTTTGGTCCTTCTTCTGCCCAATTTTCCCTGTTACATCAGGCTTCCACCACTACAGCACACTGAAATCACAATTCCTCTTCTTTGGTCTCAGTTGTTCACTGATTATTAGCCTAGATACCTTGGCTAAGACTGATCTCATTACTCTACCAGCAGCTGGTATCCTTATCGTCTAATCAGATGTTATTCCTGCTTGCTTTCTGAAACTCACTGTAAACTTCCAGCCTCCACTTTGCAACTCTTATACATTATTACATTGCTGTCATACAGCAATATTTCATCCCAGTTTCAGTTCCTTTTTTGCACTTGCTTCCTGTGCCTGGAACTGTCTACCAAATGCATCTTATGTAAGCATCTGCTTTAAACCCCATCCTGCATCTTACAATGGAGCAAAAGCAAAAGGAAAATGAATATAATGAAAAAAAAAACAAAACCATGTATCAGCTCCATAGAATCATAGAATCAAAGAATCATAGAATCGCTCGGGTTGAAAAAGACCTTAAAGATCATCAAGTCCAACCACAAGCTGACCATACTACCCTAACTCTAACAACCCTCTGCTAAATCATGAGCCTGAGCACCACATCCAAACGGATTTTAAACACACCCAGGGATGGAGACTCAACCACCTCCCTGGGCAGCCTATTCCAGTGCTTAACAATCCTTTTTTCCTGATATCCAACCTAAACCTCCCCTGGTGCAACTTGAGGCCACTTCCCCTCGTCCTGTCACCTGTCACCAGTGAGAGGAGACCAGCCCCGCTCTCGCTGTGAGCACCTTTCAGGTATTGGAAGAGAGCAAGAAGGTTTTCGCCTCAGCTTCCTCTCCCCCAGACTAAAGAGCCCCAGTTCCTTCAGTCTCTCCTCATAGGCCATATTCTCCAAGTCCTTCACAAGCCTTGTTGCCCTTCTTTGGACCTGCTCCAGCACCTCGGTGTCCTTTCTGTATTGCCCAAAACTGAAAACAGTACTCGAGGTGAGGCCTCACCAGTGCTGAGTACAAGGGCAGGATTACTTCAGTCCTGCTCACCACACCATTCCTGACACAAGCCAGGATACCATTGGCCTTATTGGCCACCTGGGCACACAGCTGGCTCGTATTCAGCCAAGGTCTTGGTGTCATCTGCAGTGGAGACACCATTCGTGACTGGCTGCCCACTGGATTTAACTCCACTGACCTCAACTCTTTGGGCCCGGCCTTCCAGTCAGTGTTTCACCCAGCAGAGCATACACCCATCCAAACTGTGGGCAGCCAGCTTCTCTGTGAGGATGCTGTGGAGGACAGTGTCAAAGGCTTTACAAATGTCCAGCTAGGCCACACCTAGCCTTCATCCACTAAGCGGGTCACCTTGTCATACAGTGAAATCAGGTTTATCAAACAGGATCCACCATTCGTAAGCCCCTGCTGACCCAGTTGACCTTCAATTGATCTATGATGGCTCCTGAGATTATCCATTCCATAACCTTCCTGGCACCGAGGTGGGACTGATAGCTCTGCAGCTACCAGGATCATCTGAAGATGGGCATCACGTTTGATGGGCATCACATTTGATGGGCATCACGTTTGCCAGTCTCCAGTTCTCCAGGACATCCCCAGTTAGCCAGGATCACCAAAGAATGATAGAGAGAGCTTGGCAGTCACATCCACCAACTCCTTCAGCACACCAGGGTACAATCCATCTGGCTCCACGGACCTGTGAGCACCCAGCTTTTGGAGCAGGTCCAAAACCAGCTCCTCATGGATTATGCAGGGCCTATTCTGTTCCCCAGCCCTATTACTAGAGCTAGGGGCTGTGTGCCCAGGGAGCAACCAGTCTTACCATTAAAGACTGAGGCACAGAAGGCATTAAGTACCTCAGCCTTATCCCGATCCTTGGTCACTATGTTCCCCTCTGCATCCAACACAGGATAGAGATTCTCTCTAGCCTTCCTCTTACTGCTGATGTATTTACAGAAATATTTACTGTTGTCTTTCACGTTAGTGGCCAAGTTCAGTTCCAGCTCTTTGGCCTTTCTGGTTTTCTCCCTGCACACACTCCCTACGTACTTGTAATCCTCACAAGCAGCTTGCCCCCTCTTCCAAAGACCATAAATTTCCCCTTTGTTCCTAAGGTCCCTGTTCAGCCAAAGCTGTCTCATTCCCCGTTGGCTCATCTTCTGTGACATGGGGATGGTCAGCTCCTGCACTTTTAAAATTACTTTCGAAGTATTCCCAGCCCTACTGGGCTCCCATGTCCTCCAGAACAACCTCCCAAGGGACTCTCTTAACCATGGTCCAAAAGAGACCAAAGTCTGCCCTCTGTAAGTCCAAAGTGGCAGTTCTGCTGACTCCCCTCTGTGCTTCAACGAGGATCAAAAAATCTATCATTTCTCAGTCACTTCACCCCAGCCAGCCTCCAACTTCTACATCCTCCATAAGACCTCCTCTGCTAACAAACAGCAGGTCCAGGATTTCTATCTCACCTTTTGGCTCTTCAGAAAGATCAGTACTCCTGAGCTAACTAGGCTGCTCTGATATACCAAGTCTAAAATAAGAACGTGGATTTCTTGCATAACCAAACCCACCACACTGTTATATCCACAGCACAGCATTAAGAAGCTGAGGAAAGGAAAACATCTTTCCAAGTTATTTGTTTGTTTACAAATAAAATGCTTGTGGTACCACTGGTGAGGTGCTGGCACAGGCTGCCCAGAGAGGTTGTGGATGCCCCGTCCCTGGAGGTGTTCAAGGCCAGGTTGGATGGGGCCCTGGGCAGCCTGGTCTGGTATTAAATGGGGAGGTTGGTGGCCCTGTGTGTGGCAGAGGGTTGGAGATTAATGATCCTTGAGGTCCCTTCCAACCCACAGCCATTTTATGATACCATGATTTTTAGTGCTAGCGAAACACTCCAGGGCCAAGGGCAGGCCAGAGGACAAAATATAGAGAAGAGGATGACAACAATTAGGTAATTAGTTAAGCAACACGGTGAAAATGGATTTCTGATATAAGCACGAGGTCAAACAGGGAAGGGCTTTCCAGGTAAATTTTCCCACTGCCTGTAAAAGGCAGCAGCAGACAAAAGGAGCGGGTGGAGATCTTCAGGAAGTGAACAGGCAAAATCTGAAGGTGGAGAAGTAAATGGCAGTGAGACATGTGCATGCCATCCTGTGCTACATTATGAGACAGGAAGGAGATTAAGAATCCTGACTCACAGTTGCAAGCCAATGGGCAGGAAGATAACACTAGTAGCTGCAGCTTTTATGGCTTAAGTGAGGGAAAACAAATACCTGGGGAGCCAGAAGGGGCAATTGCAAGTAATCACGACTTATAAGTTAAATGCAGTTATGTTTATATTAAATACTTTTTCAGACAAAAATTGTTCGCCTGAAGCGAAATTCTTCCTACCTGAGCTTCATATTTGACAGCAGCAGAAAGAAGAGCGATCGCGTTCTCTTCACAAATGCCTTGTTTGATTGTTTGCTGGCAAAGCTTTTTCAATCTGTTTTCTCTATACAGTGTTGCCAAATCTAGCAGTCCTGCAAAAATTCATACACTTTACCCATCCTGCTGCAAAAAATGTACACTTCTACTCAAACAAATCAACTGCCCCATTATTTTAGGCTGAATTGAATTAACCAGACTTTTTCTCTTCTTTCTCCACATAAAACATCCTTTTTTCAAGGTCCTCAGATGATACATCAGAAAAGGACACTTTACTAGAATGAAAGTCTTCTGTCACTTTCTTCACTGTGCTACACCTCATTCAGGATATCAATCAGGGACTCACATTAATGTGCAGGGCAACTCCTTTTTTGTTCATGGTAAAAATGCTGCAGTCACTGAGACAGGAAAGTATTACGACGGCATCAGTGCCTTTGTAAGGAAAAAGCAGTTCTTCAGATGAGAAGCAATAGAGTCCTTTCTGGATGTAAACTTTTGATCTTACTGCATCCCTATTACTCACTCTCCAGCACCCGTCTTCCTGACAGCTGCCAAACTGAAGATTTAAGTGCTAACAGAACTCACATTAGCAGCACTACTTTCCTCATCCTGTCAGACCACACAAATTCAACTTTTCAGAAACAGAAACCCAGAGTTTTTTCCATTTATGGCAAATACCTATGGCATCTTCAGGGGGGAGCCTAATGCTGTCTGTATACAGGTACTCCAGAAAGGCTCGGTAAACAGGATAAGAAAATTCACTCATTTCTATAATTTCATCATCATTATTCAGTATGGAACGAAAATGTTCACACCTACAAAAGAAGAACAGTTACAGTAAGAGTTACAAGTTACAGTAAGCTTGGAAGATGAGCTGCAGTAAGATGTTGATGAAATAATCAGTGCCTACAGACCAAATACACAACCATAAACGCTAGCTGTGTGATTTCTTGGTATAAACACATTAATTTCTTCAGTGCTTTTTATGCAATTCAGAATTGTATTTTCCTTCTCCTGTTAGTGCTTTCTATTCTAAAATTCTTAAGCAGTAACAAGCATGCTTTCATCCCACTGTGGAACAGACCTTGGGATGGGCAGCTGTCCCAGTCGTACCACATAGCAGTAAAATGGCAGAAGAGAAAGGTGGTGCACACTGCTCCCTTAAAAATAAATAAATCAAACCCAACTGCTCCTCATCCTTCAGTTCACAAAGTACCCTGGAGTGACTCAGCCCAGGAGTGCCTCTGGCAAAGAGGAAATAAGGCATTCCAAACAGAGATGGTAGGCAATAAGCAGTGTGGGTGCAACGTGATGAAACCAGTACAGAAGAAAATAGTGATGTCAGTAATTGGAAGACTAAGAGGGGTGCAGAAAAGAAAAAAAACAAACACATATATGTACACATATATAAAAAATTAACACAGACATTTAATTAATGCAGTAATATATATGAAATTACAAGCAAGAATCAGGATCAGAGATAGGAGAACAAAAGCAGAGCCACACAGGATGAGATAATAAAGCATTTTGTGAAAGAAAATTGCAAAAAGAGAAGAATAATTGTAATAAAGATGGGAAAAAACAGCTGGCAAGAGAGATCTAAAGCAGTGCATCTAGAATATTTTAGTAGAAGTTGTGCCAACAACTAAAAACTAATTTCTGCATGTTATTAACAATGTGATTACTCTGTAGATCTGCACACCAAATCTCACTTTAAAGTGGTGTTAACTTGCAGAAAGCACTAAAAACAAAAAGGGAAGCCAGCTTAAAATTCAAATGCTCTGATAAGAAGATACAAAACAAGTAGGATAAGGAATGTGACAGATAAGGAAGAAAAAAGATAATCTGAAGAGCATCTGTGGAAAATGCTGACACCGCTGGAGGGTCCTGTGGAAGGCAAGAAAGGCAAGAATAAACACAGAAGTCTCAGAGCATCCAAATGGAGGAAGCCAAGCAAAAACAGCAGGAGAAACTGATTAACATCTAGGAAGGCAACAGAAAGAAGTTGAGCCTTTTTAATCTGGAAAAGGTAACTAGTAATCAGGGTCAAGGCTGCTTAGGTAGTACAAAGGAGGGTAGATGTCAGATGCAGAGAAGTGTGGAAAAGGCTGGCAGTAAGCAGTGTGTTTGGAATGTCTGAGCAGCAAGGAAGCGAAGAAAACTGCGTAACAGTGAAGGAGAGCTGGTGAAACTCAAGCCTGAGGGAAAAGAGGGTTTGTGCAAAGTAAAGATTTTAAGCAGCAGTGACTCAGCATAATGGACTGCACTACACAACTGACTGTATATTCAACTATACAGTCTGTGCCTCACCTAATTTTGAGAAGAACTTTATGAACATGGATGTATTTTCCATCCACTAGGAACTTCAGGTCTGCAGTTTCAGGGTTGTCAAATTCCTTCTTCAGTGACTGGGCTACTGTTAGATGGTCATCAGGCTCTAGGATAAAAAGGGAAATTGATAGTGAGTGGTAACACACATGATGACGTTTTGTCAGCTACTAGCATTCTTAATAAATGTAATTTATCATTAATAATAGCAAAAACCAAGCAAACATAAAAACACATCCATTATGAACCTCCAGGAAAGCAAATACAGGGAAGCTTTCCTCAGTTGATTCCTGCTCCAAACAACAAGGCCTCAGAAACAAACAGTAAGTCTCATTCCTTTACCTCATCTGTAGAAGACCATAATAAAATTAATGACTAGTCTCAGAATTGTAATACTGCATCTGATAGGAAATGCTGTCAGTTGTCAGTGGATAAATCATTCTAAATATAAGGCCTTGCTTATTATAAGATACACAAAAAGTCAATAAAACTCAGAGTATGATTTTCTAAAATATTCCAACGAGGAGACATTATCTCAAAGCAGAAATAAGCCACTACATACAAAACTGACCACTGCAATACAGCTAAGAGTAAATATCAACAGCATGAGAGCTGCAGATACTCAGAAAGTGCTGTCCCTCGAGTTTTGGTCTTAGCAGCATTTCTTGGATCAGCATATTTCTGTGTGCCACATATGTGCTTACATCCCACTGTGACACTGCAACACTTGCATTGTGAAGTTAACAGCTTTGAAAAGCCACCTATTGTCCACTTCCACATCTCCTGAACTGGTTCCAGTTCTGATCCTGAACTGATTCTCTGTTATCAGGTAGCCTGAAATAACTATTTTCTTTAATAACATTAACAAATTAAAGGCCTCAAACATCACTCTTAGTCTAGAGAACTTTTCCTTCTTAGGATCAGAACACTTATTATTGACTTATATAGATTTTGTGGATTGGCAATGCTAGGCCTGCAAGGCTTTAAATAAAAACAGCATTCATTTGAGAAAAGGGAAACACCTCCATCACAAGCATTAAAAAAACCAACACACACACTTTGATACTACTATACAAATGAAATTGCTAAGGAATATGTTCAAGAAAACGTACCAATAACTAGTTGTTAGCATAATAATGACACGAGTACTTTGGACTACAGATGAAAGGATGAGGGAAAAAAAACAATGAAATAATAATAAAAAATCCTTCTAAAAAAACAATACTGTACAACCACTTTGTTAGTCTTATTTTGTACAAGGTGGGTCCAGACCTCTGCTATCTGAGCAAGTGCAATGACTTTAAAGACCAACATAAAGCTGAAGTTCCACTGTAATAGTTCAAAAGATTCTGCAGGATTTGGTTATGAATCTTCAAAGTCAAATAACAACTGAGATGTCCATCCATATGCAACTCCAGATGACTTCTGCAGTCCAAGGTAAGATAAATAAGATGGGGTGAAGTTATGAAATTCTCAGAGAGAAAATAGGTGCTTCTGTTTGTAGCTGTCTTTCTGGGATGAGTGAAACATGGAAGAGGCAGTTTTTACTTCTTATCCTCATTACTCTGCACTAAACAGAAGAGCAATGTGGAAATGTGGGAGGAAATCTAGGAGAACTGCACTGAGAACAAGCTGGAATATGAGACACAGGAAAGAACATTCATTCCCAGGACTTAGAGAGGGCCTATAAGAAAATGGGAAGAGATCCTTTATCAGAGTATAGTGAAAAGACAAAGGGTAATGGTTTTAAACTGAAAGAGTATGTACATTATTAGATATCAGGAAGAAATTCTTCAGAGGGCAGTGAGACCCTGGCACAGCTGTCCAGAGATGCTGTGGGTTCCCCATCCCTGCAGGCACTCAAGGCCATGCAGGATGGGGCCCTGGGCAGCCTGAGCTGCTGGGTGGCACTGCCCATGGCAGGGGGAAGGAACTGGATGGGCTTTAAGGTTCCTTCCAACACAAACCATTCCATGGTTCTGTGATCTTAATAACAATCAGGTATCTGAGATTCAGTAACTTGCCTTTTTAGAAGGTCAGGTAATGATCACTTGTTAGGGGACACTAAGTGTTTGTGGCCAACTCTGAATTTGGCTCTGTCATTCTTTGCAATCTATTTAAAAGACATACGTAGGCACTGAAGAAAGGTTCACTGTTCCTAATGCCTCTGCATGTCTTCCTAAATTCAAACGCATCTTCTCCATGGCCATTGCACAGTAACATTCAGTGGTTGCACAAAAGCTGAAGTATGAACTTGTTACTCAGACCATCATTCCAACAAATAAATGCACCTAAAATACATAAAGAACCAAGGCACTCCCCACAGAAGCAAACTGCACCAAGAAAAACAGTCATTTTGCAGTGCCATTAGGGTTTACCAATTTTTTTAACTCCATACATTTACAAATTCACAATTTAGAATTCCTAGAACATTTCTGCAATAAAACAAGTTTAAGCTCCAAACGCAGGCACATCTGTTTTATGCACTTGATTTTATTAACTTTATCAACGTTAAACCAAAAATATTTCAGCTCACCTACTGAGAGAAGACGCCACATAACAGCAGGGGTAGCAAAGCAAGCAAACACATCGTCAGTGCAGGCAAAGTGAGTGAGGTGGGGAAGGACCACAGACTGGCCGCGGCACTGGCCCCACATGTACACCTGGCCGCTCTGCGTCTTGGCAGCCGAAGTGTGAGCAGAGTGGCAGGCTGCAATCTCTATAACTCTAAATTTACAAGCAGAAAAAGAACAAAAGCAAGTCACTGTCACAAGAATAAAACGCAGTGAAAAAGCTCATACTTCCTGCATTTCCCTGGTGCAAAACACATCGACAAGCACACATGCACTTCAGATGGCGAGAACGTTTTCCTATGCGAAGTAACAAAATTGAAACGGTCATCGGTGTTTCTTTAAACAGCGTGCACTCAGAAAGTTCCTTGGTGAAGAAGCATTTGGGGAGTCAGGCAAGTAGGACAAGACAAGCAGTGCTGCAGCAGAGCACTAGGCTGCAGCACACGCTCTGCTGACCCCTTGGCTCCCTCAGACAAAGCCACGGTGAGTTCCAAGTCTCTGCTCGCCTTCGGTGGTCCTGCACAGCGAGGTGAGCTGTTGCATTAAGCTGTGGTGAAGGAGTATTTGAGAAATGGCAATAAACCAACGACCTAAACAGCTTTCTTTTAATTAAAATACCAAAGTGTTGTTACTCATGAGATTCTTACTGCTTACATTTAACAGACTTTCATTTTGAATATGAAAAAAATAAAACCAAACAGAGCACTGAAAGCTGCTTCTAAATGCATTCTAGTTACGGCAGGCTATCTCAGTAATCCTACAGTTGATTTGGGATTTCATAAATGCCTCTGTGTACAGCATTGCACAATCCTCTGTTTTGCAGTCTGAACTATATCACCTGTTTGCTTGTTTTTCCAGCTGCTTGGGGAAAGTAGCTGGGAAACAACTTGTTTAAGGCTGCATGTACAAATCCTGCAGGCTTTAGCGAGCTAATATCCTCGCTCACACCCGGAATATAGATTCTGGCAAATAGAAGGGGAAGGCAATACACAGTATTAAAATCCATACTAAAATATGGTAACATTTCAACTGCAGCCAAAGTGTCTGGAAAAAAAAAAATCAGTTTAATTTTAAGCAAAAGCACAAACACAACCAAATACCAATGTTCAAAACCAGGCCATGTCTCATCTCATTGCCACAGAGGAGTTTTCTCTCTCTTGTCACTGCACCAACAGTCACAGATGTCTTTAAAGGGTCATCACACTTTTCTTACTATCCACAACAGAAGGCCAAAATCAACACCTCAGCAGCACAGAACAGACTGAAACATCAGCCCATACAAATACATGGCTTTGAATCAGCAATAAAAGAATTACCCCACTACCCATCAACGACTCTTTCATTTGTAAAAATCAAAGCTTAATTTTCAAGCAGAGAGAGCAAGAAGAAACACTTCCCTTTCTCTCTCCTGAGTTATGTAATGGGTTTAACAGCAGATATAACACAAATTGCAGATGTCCACTCCTTGTGTGCATTCTTTGTCAAACGTAGCATATTAAAATACAATTTCTGTTCAGAAGCAATAAAGCTTTTATTCTTGACTTCAAACAATGAAACCACCGAAGAGAAACTGCAATTAAGACCTATGAAGTACAGAGTGAGCTGCAGCAGAAAAATAGCACATTAAAGCCCAGAACATTCTGTTTCTCAGGGGTGGTTATAGGATGGATTCAAGCACTCCCAGTGAAAGTCAAATTTTGATGAACTGCTTTTGTATGTCAGATAGACTTTCAATCCATTTGCATTTAGCAACAGAACTGTGTGTAAAAAATGATAGGCTATTTCTTGCAAAAAATAGATTAAAAATGGCATAGTTTAGTGCTGCTCTTTTGAAAGTGTGCCAACCAATGTCCTTTTGAATATAAGTAAGTATTACCTGTCCTTATCCACAGTAACTGTAGTAGGGTAAGACTGGTTGCTTTTATTCCCAGTACCTAACTGGCCATATGAATTGGCTCCCCAGGCATAAATCTGACCTTCATCTGTTAGCACTAACGTATGTGCACAGCCACAGGCAACCTATAAGGAATAATAAACAGAAAAATCTTTTTTATGTGATAGGAATTTAATACAGACAGATGTATGTTATGTTATACATTAATATCACTGATTCTAGGCCATTATAAAGACGGTCGATAAAAATGACAAATAGAGGTAAGATTATGAAAATGGAAAGCAAAGGAGAAAAGTGACTGAGGAAAAATAAATCATATGATCTCAAGAGTACAAAAAAGAACAGCCAGGAACTGAGAAAGAAGGAAAGCTACAGGGCAAACAGACAGTATGCTGAAGAAAGACAGGCCAACTCTTGCCCTGACCCTGCCCTATGGGCAATTGCTCCAACCTGAACAGCTTACCACTGTAAAAATATGTGAGGTCTCTCTGACTGCTGACTACACAAAAGCAGCTCCCTGTGCCAGCTCTGGTGCTAATTGGACCCTCTGTGGAGATAATTTACATCACTGGAAGGAAACTCTCTGCATGTGGGCCTGAGGACCACCAGCGCTCACATAAAATAAACAGCCATCCAGGAAGGAGAGAGAAGAGATGAAACTCCATCTAAAACCAATCTGCCTTGTTCAAAACTGGCTCATGAACAATAATACAGCCTGCAAAGCAGATGTACTGTAAGAACACGCAGTCCACTGACACCCATGAATAATGAGATATGATCTAAATGATATTAATGCTAAAGCTATTTGCTGATTGGAAGCCCACAGTTTAGTGCTGATGGGTACCAAACACATGAAGTGGATGAAAATAGGAACTATGGCAAACATACCAGACCACTCAATACTCTCAAAGCAGCAGAACACATACAGGAGAAAATGTTATTCACTTCATTATATTATCCTCCAGTAGTAAATGTTACCAGCAAAGCTACAGACTGTATCCCAGGACATGAATGCAGAACTATGTTCATTTCAATAGATAGTAAAAAAAACTTCATAACTTATCTGATTAAATGTGATTATTAGAATGAAGAATTCACTGAAGTTTTGTAAAATCTCACTGGATTACAAAAAAAGACCAGTCAAGCAGAATGTGTTGCTCTCCTGACAGTCCTGTTTTGGATAAATCAATTTAAAACTTTTGGTATCCATTCTGCATTCACTTTAAACATTTCTAACTGGTAAAAAGAATTGCTGGTCACACTGATGGCAACTCAGTCCTTTGGTAGAGTGTAAGAACCACCCAAGTTCAAGACCTGCTATGGAAACATACCAACATGCCAAAAGCACCCACGGATGATTTGTTCTGAGTTCAAACACCCACTAGTCACTGTGGTTGAAGTGCAATTCTAAAAGTGACATTAAGTCTAACAGAAGGACAAAAAACTAAACTGTGGCCATTTTCCTAGGGGGAAAAAAAAAAAAGATGGGCTGTAATAAAGAATGGAGTAGCAGAAGAAGAGTTATTAAAACAAGCAGTTATTAAAAATTGGATTTTTTGAAGAAAAAAAGAAATGACCAAACGTTCCTAATTGCCCATTCCTCTTTGAGTGAAATCCTTACCTCACTGAAATTAATGGCAAAATTCCAACTGAACTCTCCAGGGTCACAGTTTGTCAGAGGTCCGTTCTAAGACACATGCTCTTATTCTGATAAATGGTATTTTAAACAAAGAGATAAAGAACTTCCTTCACATAAAAAATACGGCCTGGTACCAGATGTGGAGGTTGGTGGCCCTCCCTGTGGCAGGGAGGCTGGAACTTGATGATCCTTGGGGTGTCTTCCAACACAAGCCATTGTATGATTCTATGCTGATTCTATGAATATCCCTTAGCTTATTTTGTTGTTCCTAAAGGGTTTGAGAAGGGCACTGCACACATACCCGCTGCACACGAACGCCTTGCAAGGCTGCTATTCGGCACGGCGTTGGCTGATTGCCGCTGCTGCCCAGCCCCAGCTGGCCGTTACCATTGTAACCCCAGACATAGACCTACAAGACAAAGACAGGGATTTTAGCTGTTTGCCATTCCTTTGAAAACAATATAACCACTTCACCCTTCCAACAGTTTCCTTCAATATTTCAGCTTCCCACACCCGGGAACTTAGGATCTGCACTTTATAGGTAGATACTTTTATGTGTACGCGCACCGAAAGTCTAATCCTTCCTCCTCACCCTGCTCTTCAGAAGTTATAGCAGTGAAAAACAAGTGATTCACAGGGCTTTTCCCCAGCACAGAGCAAATTCAGCAGGAATACTTCCCTTTTTCAAAGAGCTAGTTTCTCATTCAAAAATCCTCTAACACAAGAGAAAACATACCAAACCAAGTATCAACTGGAAGCTATACACAACAGTTTGAATAGACTGCTCACAGTTTTATGCTGTAGAAGGAAAATAGTGAAGGCTGAGCATATTCCTAATGCAAACAGTCAATAGCTTCCTAGGTCTAAACTGAAATGCTTAGAGCGATGAATCCGGAGAGCATTTAGGCTGCCCAAAATCTTCAGCTCAAGTGAACTAAAGCAATAGGAAAACGATATCCCTTTCATATCCTAACAGAGATGGAGATAAAAAAGTATGAGAGGGGCTTGATGCAGTGGAACGAACATTTGCTATCAAATTCATTTTCTGTTGGTTTGGATTTTTGTCTTCATATTAGCTGTGTCTATACAAAGACTGAATATTAAGATAGCATTCACTGATTATTCTCACATTCTTGACTGATAAAATTCCAGCACAGAGCAGATAATTAATTTTGCTGTAACTGCTAAAGACAGCAGTGACACAACATCAGTCAGCACCTTCATTTCTGCAAGAACGTAATACCAACTGGAAAAATCAATAAATCAGTAATAAAAAGTTACCTTTTTATGTATGAGAAAATGAAGCTAGCATGAAATATTAAGTACACATATATAGCTTTTATGATTTGATCCCCAAATTTATAAAAATCTCCAGACCTTTAAAACGCTGTTTTTTTTTTTTCCCTTGAGAACTGTATTTTCAAGTCAATTTTAAATTTGATCCCTGAATTCCTTCAGGTCAAAGCCAACTTCAGTAGCTGATACTAAGTAATAGCCGATCAGTTTTGAGCAATCTCATAAGGCAAAATTTCTCTGTGTAACTTCTTTCTAAAGAAGATGGGAAAAGCATTATGGATAGGAAGATGTGCCTAAACACACTGTGAGGATATGCAAGCCAACTCATGACAAAGACTTTCACAAACAGTGTAAGCAGGCAAGTCAGATGGACTCTGGAAATAAATACTTCCTTTCTCCTTGGCAGCAAATTACAGAGAGGTTTTAAATGACCTCACTGCTGTCGTACATACAATAAAGTTTAGTCTGAAAATTCACTTAATACTTCTTACCTCTCCATTTTCCACCACAGCCATAGAGCACATCTGACCACAGGCTATGTTAACTACGACTTTATTTTGTAGGCAGCTGGTAACTCTTCGAGGAATTGGCTGATTAGCAGTTGAACCAGATCCAACCTGGCCTGAGTTATTATAACCCCATGTGTACACCTGTTGTAAATGAATTCTCGTAAGTGAAAGGTGTATAACAGACATCTCTAAGTACACATTCAAGAGAGAAAGATTTGTTAGATGTGTAAGAAACACATATTTAGGTTGTATTCATGTGCTCTTCTACAGATCTGGGAAGCTACACAGGTTTATAATTTAAGTGTTTCCATCAAAAATATGCAACTCACAGTATTTTTTACATCCCGTTCTTTAATGTTTCTCCTACCAAAGATAAGAGGCAGCACAAGAACTGCACTCATACTGAGAGATTTCACTGTTAGTTTACCAGAACCCAAAACACAATGGCTAACTGGATTCAAATAACATCTGAAAGTAAACGACAGAAACACTTCTTCCTCCAGCGGGTAGAACTTCTTACTTCTGATGTCATGATTTAAACTGACATCAGCTTTAGTGATATTAAGTATCTACAGTAGGATACAGCACAGAAGAAATGGTAATTTCTTTTTATAAACAGAAGTGACACAAAAACCAATGTCCTGCATACATTCAAAACTCCAAGATTTTCCATTTTTCTTTAACATTTTTGTTGCAACATCACTCTGTGAACAGAAAGAAGGAAGACTAATACATCAGGTGCAGTGTGTTTTCCTGTTCCTCCCATACCCAAATTTCATTAGGAGAAAAAAAAGATTCGCTCTCTAGCTTTTCTCACCTCCCCATCAGATGTTAACACCATAGAGTGATGAGAGCCACAAGCAACTTCAATGACTTTCTTGTTCACCAAGTTGGTAGAGACTTGACAGGGAACCAAACCATGATTGGTTGTACCATTGCCCAACTGACTGTAAGCATTATGACCCCATGTGTACACTTCTCCTTCTGTAATAAAAAACATAAGAAGCTACTAGGAAATCTGTTTTTCCAAAGACTACAGAACATGAAATTACAAACTGGTAAGTGAAATTCAGCAACACACTGTATGTAGTTAAGTATATATATGTCCTTTTTGGCTCTTAATCCCAGGGATATACTACTGCTCTTCTCACAGCATTTAAGACAAATCCACAGTGATAGTATCCACAATATCCACACAGTCTTCATAAAAGAAATCAGAAAGCCAAGAGAAAGGAGATCGATAGAGCAAAACAGAAGAGCAAAAGATGAAATGACAGTCTGTTTCAGTTCATGCTTTTGTTACTGACAATGAATCAAAATTTCTGTATAAGCCCTGGCCCTGTGTTTCCCATTTTTAAAAGCTCAGTCAATTTTCATCCTATTGCAATATAAGTAAAGATGCTTGTAAGAAAAACAATTATGTAATGCTGCTGCTTATTACATCAACATATCATTTGTGTCCTGTATTTTGAGAAACATGGTAGTAAAACTAAGAATGCAAGAAATGTGGATGCCCCATCCCTGGAGGCATTCAAGGCCAGGCTGGATGTGGCTCTGGGCAGCCTGGTCTGGTGGCTGGCGACCCTGCACATAGCAGGGGTTGAAACGAGATGAACATTGTGGTCCTTTTCAACCCAGGCTGTTCTATGATTCTCTGTCTGACTGGGTTAGACCAACAGTCTGCTGCAGAACTGTGTGTCTGCCTGGTAATTAAAAAAAAAGTGCTTAAAGGTAACTTGAACCTGAGCCTGGTCACTTTTTGCAGCTCATTTCCTGGGTACTTCCTCAGTACTTACAACCTCTGGATTAAAGATATTATAATTCTCCTGATTCACTTAAACATATGTGTACTGGTCTTATTACCCACGAAGCTACTGTATTTACTTTTCTTATCTGTTTTACATCAGTTGTTCTCTAATTGCAGTAGCCCAGATACAGTGAATAATACATTCATCTTGTCTATCATCATCATTTTCTAAACATCAATTACGCTGTTATTCTAGGAGAATTAGATTTGACACAGACCTCCTTCAGATCTCTAGATTCTCTATTTGATATTTTCACCAAGGGTTCCCTCAAAATTACCAAAGCAAAATGTGCTATACTAAACCAGTATTTCCCTTCAGGTTTTATCTACTGATTTTACTCTGGCAAAAGCAAATAACATGAGACTATGAATTTCAGAACATACATGAAATAGGTTCACATAGAAATTGTGGACAAATTGAAGTGAACCATTCTGAAAAAAGTAGTATTTGCATCATACTTTACCTTCTGTAGCAAGAACAACATGAGGACCACTTCCATAACTCAGACAGGCTATCTTTTTGCCACACAGAGAATCTAATCTCTTTGGCTCAATTGTGCTCTGCACGTCTCCGGTTCCCAAACACCCACTGCAGTTCATGCCAAGCACAAAAACCTGTTATAAAAGAATCACACAATCATAACTTAGGGGAGAACAGACTGCCAGAGGCCAATTAGTCCATCTAGTCCCTTAGTCAACAAAGGTCTACATATATCAGTTCACTCAAGGCCATGACCTTTCGAGTCTTGGCCACCACCAGGGTCATTAAGCTCTCCCAGATGTAACCACTGACACGGTAATAAAAATATTCTAACATTTAATTGGAATTTCCCATGTTCCAACTTGTGTTCATGCACCTACAAGAAATCTTTACCTTCATCTTCTCTTTATTCCCTGAAAGTGGTAAGAGGCCAGCTTTAATTGCAAATGTCTTATTGTTAATGACAAGGTTCAGGTATTCAATATGCAACTTTTTCTCAGTATGCAACGGTACCAGCTTTCACAAAATCTTGACACATAAATCAGAAACCTCACACTCTTGGACAATTACCTCATCATTTTCAGTTACGTACAGCACCTCGTTACCAGCACTGCCAAATACACAGGCTTGACGAATTAACTTGAGCTCCTCTTGTGAACAAAGGGAAAAAATCGGCCATTTCCCAACATCCAGCATCTTCAGGGCTGATAATAATGTTGCCTCCAAGACCTGATGTTACAGACAAATTATATCAAATAGCTACATAGAGAGAAATACACTTTTGCATGACAAAAGGGATAAATTGAGACAAACACCACTACCTGCATTCTCAACCACAGAACAGTATTTTAATTCCAGAACAACACCCTCAGCAAAACCATTATAATAAACAAATAAACTGTATTGTGATCTAGAAGGGATCTGTGTGCATGAAGACAACTACAATGTATGATGTTAAATGCTGTGGTCACATTTTTGCTATATCCATAGAATGTGACTACTACATTAGAGGATTCAAAATACAGGATTCTAATACTAAGATGTAAAGTATACACCCAAAATCTGAAAACAGTGTGCTAAAATTATTGTTGAAAAAAAAAAACCAAAAACAAAAACATGAAAGATCTGCCCAAGAATGTACTTCTCTTTGAAAAAGACACACATTTGTTTTCATGCATTAAAAATGGAAAGTTGAGAAAACTCAAGAAACCTTTTCCTTTATCCTTTACTTCTGGAACCATCTGTGTTTCAAAAGTTACTTTCTAAGAATATTTGTGTCTGTAGGTAGATATATAATATGAAAAAAAAAAAAAGATAATAGAACATTCTCCACTTTATTCAAGGAGAAACAACAACTTCCTAGCAAAGGAGAAGAAAAATAATTCTCTCCAGACAGTGAAACTAGTTAATGTCTGAATTTCACTCAACATTTCTACTGCTTTAGCACAGCATGAATCAGAAAAATGTTCCAGTATTAACTTTTAATAGCAAATTTTGCATGGAGCACTCATCAAATTTTCTTTTACTAAAATTAAGGAAGTTCTGGATGTGAAAGAAAAGTAGCAGTAATTCGTAGCTCTGATGAGGAGTAAGAATAGATTTTTCCTATCACTGCATTACACAGTTCACCATGTAACAGTAAGGACTGCATCACTTGCTTACCTCTAGGAAGTATCAGACTTTCAAAACACTCTGTCACAGGAAATACACATCTTTATCTATATTTATATATATAAAATCTGTGACTGAAACAAAGCTGTGAATAAATTCTAGTTTAGAGTCACCTATGTTAGTTGTAAGGATATCACTTTTGTGACTAATGTCACTTATGAGAAAATGTATGCAGAAGCATAGATAGAAATATTTCAAACTAAAGAAATCTTCAAAATTAACTGTGAATGTCAATCTTTCAACAAATACACTTCTAAGGAAGGAGAAGGAGGACTGGTCATGTTCCATAAGGAAAAGCTGTTTATTTTCCCATGTCCTCATAGCAAATAATTTCATTTAATAACCAGTCTAGAAGCTGTTTTGTCATACAGATCACCTTATCAGCACATCATCATGAAGCTCAGAATCTAAATGACGTGTTTCCCTAAGTTCTACAGGCAGAGTGTACAAAGAAAGAGACAACAATTTGCAGTTTTCTCACCACATTATGCTCTAAAAATTAATTATTACAAGTTTGTGTTGCTGAAACACTAAACTGAAGAATGTAACTTTGAAACTTAATACTAAATTAAACCAATCTGGTAAGCCAAAGAATTCCAACTGATTAAAGTGAATCTATTGACTGATTTAAATGAATCTATTTTAATATTTTGTGGATCACATAAGTAACATTTCTTCTGCAAGTATCCTTTTTCTACCTACAGTTTTGGTTTTCTGTTTATCTTGAAAGCTACTGGCAGGTACTAAGCTAGTAATAAAACCGTGCTTCTTTCTCTTGAGTTGAGATGCATGGAATTCTCAGCACGAATTCTCACACTCTGACCTTGACACTGACTCCTTGAGAAGGAGGAGGTTCATCTTCCATATGGATTTGTGCTGGTGTCCCTCTGCAGAGAGAGAACTGTAGTTAAAATCGCCGTATCATTTTGCTGCAACCTACACACATTTCTTAAGACCAAACTCTTTGTTTGTTTCTTTGAGAAAACAAAAATCACGAAGCTCAGACAATTTTGTTTTTACTTTCAACTGTATGATGGTCAGTGACTCGATTTTCTGTCTTTTCTGTTCTTGCCAAAATCTTGGAGACAACTTTTTTAAACAAGTAGCATAATTGAAAAAGTTTTAATAGACACAATACTCCAACGTGTTTTTACTGGAGTAAAAATGAATTTAAAACCTTGCTGATGTAATTTTCCAAGACATTTTTTTCAGCAAAGAAAAAGCACACGGATACAACTTCCCATTTCTGGCATAACCCTTTAAATATTTTTATTCCATCTTCATTCTGAAAGGCAGTGTATGGGAAAAAAAACAAACAAACAAACACCACCACAAAAACATTTGGACATTTTCAGATTTACTGAGAATTGCTAGAATATTCATTCTGTTTCTGAAACAACTGGCAGCTCTGTAAGTGACCTGCATGGCTTCTATGATGCATCACCAAGGGAAACAAATCTTCAGATCAGCTGTCTCCTTCCTGATGAGGATGGCCAACCCTACTGCCCTCCATTTCCCAACACAAAGCTGTGCAAATCCATTTTCAGTAGAAATGCACAAAAGAGCACACAGCTCTTAAGCCATGTAAGCTTTTCTTACTTGACAAATGAGAAAGCAGTACCCATCATTTTCCTGGAGATACACTGATTCAGCCAGTTCTAAAAATATCTTTACCTCCCACAGAAAACCAAACATCTGACAGCAGACAGAATGACATCCAAGGGACAAGCAGCTATCATTTCACTCAGCTACTCTTCATAGGACTGTCACACTTCAAAGAGGTTTTATAAATCTTCTAGTTTTATTTAAGTGAAATTTAAGTGAATTTAAGTGAAAGCACAGCTCTGTATCTCTGCATTTCATCTGCAAGCCATTTGATGCACAACTGGTGGTCATTATTCTTCAAGTTCTGATATTTCAGTTTGGTTGCCTTAGGATGGAGCACTGCAGTTACTGAATGAAAGGTTCTCCAGCCCCCTACTTTTTCAGTGTTCCAGAAACATACTGAGAATTTTGAGTTAACTTTGCAACACAGATCGCCTACATGGCCTCAAAATGCAAAAGCTGCTTTATTTTAAATGTAACTGAGAAAATTACTCTGCAATTCCATTCTTCAAGATATTTTGCAAACGCAGACATCTTATTTCCCATCAGTCCTACAGGAGTGCATGGGACACCCCAGATAACATCTTTTTATGCAGTTATTCAAATTCATTTGCTCTCATACACATTTCTACCTCTGCAAAAGTGTTCTTTGTAAAAGCCTATAAGTGATTTAAGATTATACAGAGACCGCTGGATCCTGAAAGCGAAGAAGAAAACAAATATTAAATCGTTAAGCCTACCTAAGAAACCTTCTTATTTGTGGACCTACTGATTATTCACATTTTCTTACTCTTTTAGGAATTCTTCCTCCAGAAAAAATAACAGTGAAGCAAAAGCAAAGCAGTACTTTCATCAATGATTAAAGAACAGAACCTGTGCACATTTGAGGACTCCAGATACAGAAGAAAAACAAAGTCCAATCTATTACAGACAAGTTATTCAGACTGTTTATCTATAAAATTTTAAACTACTCGTTTAATCTCTGAGAATTCTTGCTTTAAAATAATCACCCATTACTTAAAAAATAAAAAGCAATACTTACTTTTGAAAGTAAATAGGTAAGCAACATATACTTCTCATGTATTAAAACTTTATATTCACTAGCTGCTTTTCCCCCAAAAATCTAACGTGCCGATCTAAAAGAAAAAACATCATTTTTTTGTGGAAGTACACAAAGTTTCAGTACAAAAAATATTTATATTAAACTTCACAAATCTCTTATCTGGAATCCAAGTACAATCTAAGAATCTGGACAGCGTACTCTGGCAGTCTGTGTCAAGACTTTTCCTGTCTCTGGATCTGCTCCAACCATGGTCTTGGCACAAGCTATGTATGCCTTTGTGGTATAGATAAGATTGAGTTAAGGAACATAAATGCTGCTTCTATTAGCCAGGTTCCATTAAGAGTCTAACCAGATCACTTAATACTAAATGTTTATACAGGTTCACTGACGCATTCAAATGTAAACATTCCTGCAGATTTTCTCTCTAGGAACTTGGCAAGCCAACAGGTTGGTTTTTTGTTTTGTTTTTTTTTTTCTTTCCAGAACTCCACTTAGCATTTCCTCCCATTTAATTTGAGCATTTATGAAACTCATCTGCTGAACCAAAGGTCTGTCTGGAGTATCTACCCCAGTAACTCTAACCACAGGCTTTGGAAAAAGCAGGAGGGAAAAGTCACAGGCAAAAAAGGACTTGCTGACACCCTTAGGAAAGGGACCTAAACTTCTCTGATCTTGATTTCTCAGCAGCCATGTACAAGAGCAGTCATGAAATTACGCTAACCTGTCCAAGTGATCTCACAGGAGAGGACAGAATGATAATCACAGAATCACAGAGCAGAAATTGGGGAGGGGACCTCTGGAGATCACCTAGTGCAATCACCTGCCAAAGCAGGTTCCCTACGGCAGGTTGCGCAGGGAAGCATCCAGGTGGGTTCTGAATATCTGCACAGAAGGTGACTCCACAGCCTCTCTGGCAAGCTTGTTGCAGTGAACACCTTCCACCTATCACCCTTAAAGTGAAGAATTTTTCCCTTGTGTCTCTATGGAAATTCCTATGTTCCAGTTACTGGTCATTACCCCCTTTTCAGCTGGGCACCACTACGAATAGCCTGGCCCCATCCACTTGACTCCTGTCCTTAAGATATTCATAAGCACTGACAAGATCCCCTCTTCTTTGTCTAGGTTGAATAGTCCCAGGTTTCTCAGCCTTTTCTCATAAGGGAGATGCTCCAGGCCCTTAATCACCTTTGTAGCCCTCTGTTGCACTCTGTCTAGAAGACCCCTGTCTTCCTTGAACTGAGGAGCACACAGTATTCCAGATGCGGCCTCACCAGTGCAGACGGGGAGGATCTCTTCCCTTGACCAGCTGGCCACACTCCTTTTAATGCACCCCAGGATCCCACTGGCCTTCCTGACCACAAGGGCACACTGGTGGCTCATGGCCAACCTGTCATCCTCCAGGACCCCCAGGTCCTTCTCCACCGAGGTCATATTATCAATAGCTACTCCTGCTGAAGAGATTACATTTCCTTCCCCAAAAGATGTGAGTCTACGTTCAAAATTAACATCCTTCTTCATGTACAGTGAAATGTCAATACTTTGTCCGGCGCTGAGCATAAACCGACAGAACTCAGCTTTTCATTTATCTCTCCACTGATGTAACATCATCCATTACCAAGAAACTGCAGACCCTGAAAAACAGTCAGTGGTTGGTTGAAGAGCTGCTATCTCCAACTAAAGAATGGTCTTCTCTCATTCCCTTCTTGCTTCATGACACCAGACAGTGACTTCTCAGCTCCTGATGCAAGCTCCTCTGGGTGCATACTAATTTCAAAAGCAAAGGTACACATAATTTAAAAGCTAAATCCATGAAACTTTCAAAGACTGAAATCTTGACAGTCTTCCAGATTGTCATCCTTGACCTTGCAAGGCAGCTGCTACAGAAGTTTTGAATTAAAATGACTTAAGATAGTGTTACTGTCTCACTCCACAGAGACAAAACTTTAGCCAAAAAAACCTTGTCAGACGCCGTTTCTTTTTTAGCACGATAACCAGTTGTACCTGTTGGCTGGGACAGACCTCCAGAAATACCTCACTGAATTTATCAGAGGTCCATCTACATGCAGAATGTGTTTTTTGGAGCTGGATACTTGAAATCTATTTGCAGAGGCCTTTTTTTTTTTTTTTTCAGTAATATCATCATGACCAGAAAGAAATTAATTGCAAAAAAGGAAAGCAGTGAAGAAGCTGGAAATAATAAATAAAAAGGAAAAATGGACACGCCAAAAGCAAGGACCATAGGGAGAATACTGACACATCCAGCACCGTTCTTTAATACAGGTTCAATACCACTTTGATAAAGCCTAAATACTTCAAGGAAAAACATTCTGAAGCACATGAGAAGTAGGAAAGAAAATGTGAGCTTTCAACTCTCCAATGGATTAAAAAGAAGTGTCTGGGTGTAATGTGAAATTCCTGCTCTAAGTGACAACACTGCTTTGAAAATCCTATGCAGATTCCTGGGACACCTCCCCCTCACTTGCAAAAAAAATCCTGGGAGATTTGGACTTGCAAGAAAATCTGAGTTTTATAAAATTCAATAAGACTTTTCTAAGTCTTAAATAATAGAGATGAGAAAGCACACTGTCCATTACTATTACATTCCCTATCTCTATTCTAATTACTCTTTTTCCCCTTAGAACTGCTGTCAGATATAGAATGGCGTATTGTTTACCAGTGAGCAACAACAGTGGAACTGACTGGAGAAATACATCATTATCTACCAGAGAAAAAACGTTTAAAGCAGAAGAAACAATTCTCCAATTCCTTTTTCTCGTTCTACAAACCCTCCAGCTACCCTGCTAAAAATCTGAAAGCTTTGGCTATCCATCTGCTCGTTTAGAAAACAAGGAGAAAAAAAATATATCAAGGTCAGCAGCTAAAAAAGTCTAATTAAAACTGTCAATCAAACGTATTTTTAATTTAAAATGTTTTCACTTATTTCTGCAAGTGCAAAAACACCTTCTGAAGGCAGTCAAGTGTTTCAGATTTTGCAAAGTGAATGCACAAACTGCCCTCAGTGCTCAACACTGCTGTAAGAATGCCAGGGTCACTTCCACATGCATACTTCTGCAGTAAAAAAGAGTATTATCTCCAGATCTTGAAGACATTAAAATAATCAAACATTTTCTTAGACAGTTTCTGGGTAAAAGGATATTATTCCCGTATCTGTTTCTAAGCTGAGATGTTGAAGAATTTCTTTTTTTAATGCCTGATCCCAGATGCAAAAAGCAGTTTCTCTTTGCTAAACTGTTAGCCAAAATCCAAACACACTTCAGTTCCTGTAATCCGTGTAGATACAAACATAACAAAATATTAACAACTGATGCAGTTATTAGCTTCTGTCCATTTAAAACACCACATAAAATTAAATTTACTATGTAGTTGATTTGGTATAACTGACACACACTGATTCTTCATTTTGACTCTCCAACATGAGAATTCAAAGAACCAGCTTCAGGGGAAAAAGAGTATTCAGATTAGTTGGTTTTACAAGATCTTTATTAAAGATCTTAATTAAGTAGCATTAATTCAAAATAATGCAATCAGTGTGAAAGGAATAGATGGTTATTATATCTTTATAAACTTAAGAAATCATAATACAGAATAAGGTTTAAGAACGTAAGAAATGCTAACAGCTCACCAAGTCTATCAGGATAAACTGTGTACAAGCCCGAGATTTAAGTAGTATTGCAGCTGCAAGGGGGAACCTGACTAAACACAGATCAAACAGCATAGGAACAGCATGTCAGGAAAGGGTCCTTCTCTTATTATGTAACCACAACTTCCATCTTGCATTTATAGAAAAACAACAAACAAATGCACTTACATTACTATGCCTCCTCTATGGGAATCTAACCTACCTGAATTGCTATTAGACAGCAGTTACCTGACCCAGCCAAATTCTGATCCATACATCAGTCTAGCTCGTGAGGATCTTTGGACTTCATATTCTCCTTGAGCTGTTAAAGAAGAATGCAGTTTCCATAGTTGCAATCTTTGACCACTTCCTTGGATGTCCAAGAACGATCTTCCTAGCTCCATTTAAGCAAAACTTCAATTTACAAAATGTACCTTCTACAAGGTACAAAATCAAACAAAAACTAACTAAAACAAGTCTATAAACACTGCACTAAACCACTCCATTTTCTCTGCTCCTGGCTTGTTTAGATTTAATACAGTTTTTCAGCACACTGGGTCACCAAGATAAAGGCTTTTTTTTTCCAGATCATGTCTAACACTACCACAGCATGAATCAATGGCTGTAGATACACTTCCCTCTTTGTTTCCCACAAATCAAGCATAAAAGATCAGGTAGAATAGGAGGGCAAACCTTCCTCCATACAATGTCAGAATCTTCAAGATGTTTTACCTCAATTTTTTCACTCAGTGGTCTTATTTCAACTCTTTCAACTGTTTTTCCTTACATGATTAGAGAAGCTCTTAAAACTCTTGCCTCTAACTAACTCAGACTTAATTCTGGCAATTTTCACTTCATCAGTACACTATCTCCTGCAGCTTTCTTTGTTTATCCATCCCTTTTCTATTCTTTATACCCAAAATTCTTTTCAAAATATATAAAAATCAAGCAGACTTTTTTTTTTTTTTTTTAATACTACTTCCAAATAAATTCTACCTTTGGCATAAAACAATTTCATACTTTCTTTACTTCCAGGGCCCTCAGGACTCCTGTACAACTGATATCTCACTAACTAATCCCTTTGAATTTTCAGAGTTGCCCCTTCCAACATCGTGAAGTTCAATATATCTTTGTTTATCCCTGTATTGTATTTCTATAATCAAACTAAAAATGTGGCATCAGGCCAAAAGCTCTTCTCAGAATTTTTTACACCTAATGAGAGTGACTCTAAGGCAATGCGGTACCTGCTCAGTAAGCTTGGAGCAGATGTATGCAAGAACAATTGGGCTTATATGTCATCTGTATTGAAAAAAGAACTCCACCTGCGACATAATTCCTGATGGTATCACACAGTAAGCACTACCCTTACCCAAATCCAGCTCTTCTAGACTATAGCAGAAACCATCAAAAGCTCTTATAATTTTTTTAATCAAAGCTAGATAAGCTTGATTCTTGCTTATCCACACAGCTTCCTCCTGTACCATACAGTTCATTGTAAGGACATGTGTCCATGTCACAATGTCACATCTATTTCTCATGTCTGGACAGCATTAGCTCTCCTAACTCACATGCATCAAGATTGTTATTTTCTCCATGTTTAGCTTTCCTAACTCACATGCATCAAGATTGTTATTTTCTCCATGTTTCTCTATGTACCATGTCATCCTTCACCACCAGTCCAGCCCAAATGTTTCACAGTGCTACACAAAACCAACTGTCTATGGACCTTACTCAGTCTGTAACAAGGAGTAAAATCCCTCTGCTAATTTTACCCTTTTTATTACCTATCAATATTAGAACTTTCATTTCCAGAAGGAAACACAGTGCGATTCCCTAATCTCTCAAGCCTTTGTCATTTGTTAAGTCTTAATTTCCGTTTGTCTTTTTCTGCACTGACTGTGATCAAACACTGAGCTAAGCTTGCCTAACATACTGCAAACTTCATACTGCTTCATGAGCCAGCAAGGTGCCCTCACAGCCCAGAAAGCCAATCGTATCCTGGACTGCATCCAAAAGCAGTGTGGCCAGCAGGGCCAGGGAGTGATCCTGCCCCTCTGCCCTGCACTGTGAGACCTCACCTGGAGTACTGCTTCCAGATGTGGAGTCCTCAGCACATGAGAGACATGGACCTGCTGAAGCGTGTCCAGAGGAGGGCCACAGAAGTGATCCGAGGGATGGAACACTTCTCCTATGAGGACAGGCTGAGGGAGCTGGGGCTGTTCAGCACGGAGAAGGCTCTGAGATGATCTGAGCTGCCTTCCTGTATCTAAAGAGGGACTGGAAGAGGGAAGGAGACGGACAGGGCCTGCTGTAACAGGACAAGGAGAAATGGTTTCAAAGTAAAAGAAGGGAGATTTAGACTGGATACAAGGAGGAAGTTTTTTACAGTCAGGGTGGTGAGGCAGTGGCACAGGTTGCCCAGAGAGGTGGTGGATGCCCCATCCTTGCAGACACCCAAGGTCAGGCTGGTCGGGGCTCTGAGCACCGGATCGAACTGGAGGTGTCTCAGTTTGTTGCAGAGGAATTGGACCAGCTGGCCCTTATAGCTCCTTCCCGACTCAACGGATTCTGTGATTTATACTTCACGCTGAGGACACAACTCCCCAGCACCACACGCACACTCCTGTCTGAGAGTGTTTATATATTTATATAGACTGAAAACACAAAGCCACGGACTGCGCGACACAACACCCGCCTGACAAGACCCGCCCATCTTCCAACAGCGGGCTGCTGGCAGGACCCCACGACCGCCCCCCACAGCGCAGCTCCCGCCAAGCCGCCCGCCGCCCCGCCCCGCCGCAGGGCCGCAGCCAACAGCAGCGGGCGCAGGGCGGGAAGCGCAGGCGCGCAGCGCCCTCCCTTTCCGTCCCCTCCCCCGCCGCGGGGCGGCCGGCACCGTTCGCTAGAGTCCCGGTAGCGCTCCCGAACGCCGCTCGGCCGCAGCGCCGCGCCTCCGCTCTCCCAGCAGATCTGCTCTACTCGCCGCCCGGGGAAGGGGGAGGCGGTGGCGGGCCCCTCGTTCCGTCGCTTACCTTCTCCGCAGGCGGCGGCTCCTCCTCCCCGCGATGAGACAAGGGAGGATGCCGCCGCGCTCAGGCGCCTCCTCAGCCGCGGAGGGGGGAGGGAAGGAGGGAGGGAAGGGGGCAAGCGCCTCCCAGGGATCCACCTCCTGCGGCGGGAGAGCCGTCTTCCTTGCGAAGGCACGGCTGTTTTGGCGGAGCGGCCGCCTGGAGGAGGATGGGGCGCTCCGAGCGGGCACGGCGCTGAGGGGGGTAGTGAGAATCGCTATCACCGAGCGTCTTCCTAGGCGCAGCATCTATAGCCTGCTGGTCACGTCTCTTAACCTGCTGACCTGCCTTCTTGCTGTGGTGTGTGTTCGGAGACCTTTGCCGCTGTATTCAGTGATAGCAGGGCGTTGGGAGCCGTATTCAGGGGGAGAAAGCTTGCTCTGTGGCTTAACAGCAATCTATAAAAGAATGTCGTGTCTTGCTCCAGAAGTAATGCCTGCTGTTTAGTATAAGGGTTTTCCTCATAAATTACAGGATTGTACTGTAAGTACCCAAGTCTCTTTAGTCAACAAACCTGGTTTGGAAGCACCATAAGAAGGGTTATATTATCATAGAATCATAGAGTGGTCTGGTTTGAAAAGGACCACAAGGATTATCTCGTTTCAACCCCCTGCTATGTGCAGGGTCCCCAACCAGCAGACCAGGCTGCCCAGAGCCACATCCAGCCTGGCCTTGAATGCCTGCAGGGATGGGGCATCCACAGCCTCCTTGGGCAACCTGTTCCAGTGCATCACCACCCTCTGTGTGAAAAACTTCCTCCTAAAATCTAACCTAAACCTTCCCTGTCTCAGTTTGAAATAATTCCCCATTGTCCAGTCACTATGCACCCTCATGAAACAGCCATTCCCCCTCATTATGGGATGCTGTTTTTTTATATAGTCTGAAATTGCACTTCCAGATGGAAAGAAAAAAAAAACAAACCATTATTGAGATGGAGTTTTCTAAGAACTTCCTTCTTTATTTCCTGCTTGTGGTAGATTTCAGAAGTTGGATGTCATATCTTAGTCCAGACAGTTTTGAATTGTTTGATTTCAGAATCTGGAAAAGCTTGAGACTTTCTGTCTCCTATCTGATGACGAACAAGAAACAATAGCATAGACAAATACTGGTTTCATTTGTGTCACTGCAAGCACCAGTCTCAGCTGCAGGAGAGCAGACATGAACAACCAAAGCTCCTTAGTGTAGTAACTATAGTACTTGCTTGTGGTTTATGTGTGATACTAGTTTAAATACCTAAGTTAAAGTACCTAAGGGACTCTGATATGTGATAATAAAGGGGAGAGAGAGAGATGGCTTGATAGTGATAGGATAAGGGGAAATGGCTTTAGGCTAAATGAGGGGAGATTTAGGTTAGATGTTAAGAAGAGATTTTTTACTTAGAAGGTGGTGAGGCACTGGAAAATGCTGTTCAGGGAGGATGTGGATGCCCCATCTCTGGAGCTGTTCAAGGCCAAGTTGGATGGGGCCCTGAGCAGCCTGAGCTGGTGGTGGAAGCCTGCCCATGGCAGGGGGTTGGAACTGGATGACCTCTAAGGCCCCTTCCAACCCAAGCCATTCTGTGATTTTGCATAATAATTTGTGTAGAATGTGCAATGGAGGACAGCAGACTTGGGGATGTTGTCTTCAATAAGGAAGATAACGTCATTCTGTGTAATTTTGTTCTCTCTTTATATACAGTAAACAGACTGCTGTAAAACACAAAACAATTTATTGTATGTTACCATGTTCATTTCTCTGGTATCTGTTTTCTTGAACCCTTTTCGGGGGAGAGGGGGGGAAATGTTGCTGGATTTCAGCTGTGTGTAAATATAGTAATATACCTGATAACGTCGGTCTCACAGGCAGCGGTAGCAAGTTATTCGTTTTCAGATTAACAGCAAGGCAGGTATTTTTGGTAAGAGTAGTTGTCCCCTAAGTCAAATTTCGTCTTAGGCTGTGAGCTGTTTATTGATTTTTCAGTGAATGTTTTCGAAGAATATGGGATATTTTTCTAAAAGTTATGCTTTATTTAACTGCAGGAAGCACTATTAGGCTGAAGGTTACACTTAGAATCAGTGGAAAAGATCACCATCTTGACCCACTGAAACAAACTTTGGTGTAGTGAGCTATAGTCCTTAAATCTAGAAGCAGTGGATGCAGATATACATCAAAGAAACTGAATCAGTTGGTGAAAGATTGAGGGTGGTGAAAGTGTGGACATAAGAAAGACTAATGTCATTTTTAAATGGATAAAGAGAGTTGTGAATGGAAGTTAAAAGGCAATTTGCCTCCAGTAAACAGTTTAATAAAATAACTACTGGGACACTGCATGTAATGCTATTATACTTTTTAATAGAGAAGCTGAAAATGGGATGGCATGCTTGAAGATGGTCAGTGGTTTGGAAATAAGAGATACTGCAAGAGGTAGTTTATAGAGTTATTTACTCTGTTTTGTGTAATTTATTAAAAAACAGTGTAAGGGTTTTTATAGTTTATAGTTTCATTTGAAAGAGAAAACAATAGGCATTCAGTGGCATTTTAATTTAATGGAAAAGGACATGAGAAGCAATGGGGACAAATCCAAGTCACAGGAATCCAAGGCAGACATTAAGGATGAATTTCTGACAGTAAAGGTTATCTCCTTTTATTGATGTCTTCCTATGAAAATCTGATCAAGTTACTTCTGCATTTCCATACATGACAGTTGTTCTATACCTGTCTCCTTTTCTACCTTTCATCTGGGCTGTTTCCAGTTTGATTTTCTTCTTTGCTAAGTGTAGTACCAGATTAAGAACTCAACAACACAGAGTAGAAAGAAATACACGTCTGTCTCGTCTTGCAAACACACTTGTTAGTATATACCAGGATTGTGTTTTACTTTTCTCCAATAGCAGTATTCTCCTCTGCAGTTTAAGCTTTGCATTTCTTTCTTAAGGTATTTTTCCACTCAAATTTCTGCATTTTCCTTTGGTCTTCAGAATAATATTTGATGGACCTGATTTTCTTTTCTGATTAGCAATGGAAGAGACCCGTTTTGCTGCACTCAGTTGCTAAATAAGGTAGTTCAGTAAACCTTTTGCTGTGTTTCTTCTTAGTGTGTCAGCAGGAAATGAGAAAGCTACAAGTCTTTTCAGGTCAAAATAAAACCAACTTCCCACCTGAATAGCAGGGCTCCCAATACCTGTGTAGTGGTTTGTGGGGATGTTGTGTGCACCAGGGGAAACGACTGGAGGCCTGCTTCAGCCTATGAGAAAGTGAAATATTGTGAGTGGGAGGCAACCATAGTTTGTTAAGTTCTGGTACTAGATGGAAGATGAGAGGATGTTTAAAAGATTTAACAACTGTTTTTATGGAAAGCTGTCAGACCTGAAGACATAGCAAGTTAAAGAGGGGGGAAGTTTCCAAAAAGCAGGTATTTAACAAGAGTTAAAGGTAAGAAGATCCTTACAAGCAAAGTTATGCAAACTTGAGGAAATTGACAAATTGTATTTATCATATAAACCCTATATCTCATATGTTGTAGGCCTGCAGGCCAGCAGTGGGACTGTGTTACATTTCTCTAGGGAACTTCAATCCTCTTTGTGCATATGTCTGTTCACTTTGGTAGAGCATTTCAAGCCCATGTAGCCTGCAAATAGGATCGAAGATCTGGAAGCTAGCTGCCACAGGGACTGTGGGTCTGGGGGTAAATACTGGAGAGACAGGGGATCTACAGGTTGGCTACCAGAGGTCTTCTGGGTAAACCACAGGTCCAGACCAGTTACTGTTGAGATTGATTGTGTCTGTGTGTATAATGATAAGAGATCCAAGTACCAGCAGTGCAGTAGGACTGTGAAACTTTGGGACTTTTGGGCCTGTGTGCCAGCAGCTGAGGAAAACAGGAGATCTGGAATCGGTTATAAATGAACGTAGTGTCCACGGACACCTGGGTGCATGTGTATGTATGTCTGCATACCACTGGCAATCTTCAGACCTTTGTGCCATATGTATGAGGGATGGAACTGGTAAGGCACTTCGCTCTCTGTTAATCTGCCTGGCTGGCAGTGAGTGTACTGTGCACGTGCCTTGGGAACACATGGTCAGCCTTGCTACTGGCTGAACCCTGGGGCATGGAGCTGCAGAGTCCTTGATCTGCTCTGCCACTGGATTCAGCTGTCTTGGACAGACATCTAAATGAGTGATCATTGAAGAGTGAAGTGTTGGCATCAGTGGAGTTGGTGACAAGAT